TCACAGCTGCCGTGTCTTCTGTTTTATGATTTAGGGTCACCGGCGCATGGTGTGCTGCTCCGCTTGGTGTGAAGACAACACCACCTGCAACCTGTTCACCTGTGGCTTTGATCGGCAAGCCATCGGCTGGAACATAAACATCCCCGCTCTGCTGCAGGAGAAATGACCTCCTCCTACTGTCACCTTACAGGGAAATGCCACCAAAAGTCTGTTTGGAATATCAAACACTGAAACCTTTGAGTGGGGTTAAAAGGCGGCTGGAGAAAACTTTGTGTCGATGAAAAGTTGTCTCATGTTGTAATGTACAGGATGAAATTCCTGTCGTTTCCAGCAGCCGTCTTTTGAGCCCACGGGGGGTCGGTATTTGTACTCGATGTCCTTTGAGCTCTGTTCTCCTCCTTTGTTTGGGGTAGAGCAGAAAAAGGCCTTGCACTTGCTGTCTACTCCATCTGTCACGCTCACTAAATCACCGCTGCCAAAATATACAAAACACATTTGTGGTCTTTGCGTGGAAGTGATTTAACATCTGGAAAAGAGAAAAAAAATCCTGTGCATCTCTAATGAAAAAAGCACACGAGCTTCTTCTTTGCCGCGAACAAAAACGCATTCTGTTAATGCTAAATCAGATCTGTGACGTGCTGACGTTTCTGCTTGATGCTGATTTAAAATGCAATACTGGAAATCTAATCTGTGCCACTAACAGCAGATTCATGCTGGACAAAGACAGCGGTCTGCTGCTTTAAAGGATCCACTCATTATATATCATTAGTTTTCCCTGTTTAATACACTGCAAGAGTTACATCAATGAAAACTTATTTGTGAAACTTGTTGTTTACTTTCTGCGTCACGTACATTTCCTAGGTTATGATGCAACGTGGCAGTGGAAGCCCTCACTGCTGGAACGCTTGAGTCTCATGTCCTGCACTGGGATCTAACAAAGCGTTCATTTTCAGCATTCACTATTATATTTGACTTTTTTTTTTTCTTCGTTTTTCTTGGAAACTGAAATAAGTTTCCAAACATTTTGTTTGGCTCCTGGCTCTGTCTGTAACTCGCATAATAAATGAAAACCAATAGTTATGAGAGTGTAACTGAGGACCAGTAAGCTACAATACAGGCTGTAAAATGACTCCTGCGAGTTCTCGATGTGAGCCTGCCGACGTTCATCCAGTGGCCGCTTGTTGGTGAGCTATCATGAAACTTTAGCAAGTAGCTAACAATTTTACAAGAGTAACTGGTACTGCAGCAAAACATTACACTACTCCACATAACCAACTGCAGTTGTCTGTTTGAACTATAGACTGTATATAAAAGATGCATGTAGCCACTGTGATGTCACTCATTGGTTTTAGATGAGTGTATTAGCGACGGTTGCTCGGAGCCACCGTGTTGGTATCCAAAAGGCACCAACATGGTATCGATGTCCAGTACAGTGATCTGTGTTGCAATACCTGTCAGATAAAGTCGCCACACCTCCAATTTTGAAGCTAACAGTAAGCAAATGGATGGATATAGGAAAAAAAACAACCTGTGTAGAGTTGTTATGGGGGAGGAAACTATCTACTAGGCCATAAGCGTTTTTCGCTATAAACAGGCTCTTTAATGCGGTAAAGTTGGGCATTTTAACACGGCGCTCTTTGTGAATTCACTCACTTCTGGAGCCAGCCTCAAGTGGACAGTAGTGGAACTGCAGTTTTGAGCACATCTTCAGTTTTTAGCTCTAAAAGTTGCTATTTATCGTTTATGGATATTAATGTTAGCTACTTGCTACTAGCTAACGTTGCATGCTAAATAATGTAGACTCTTCAGTTAAACCATGTTGGGTTTATTATTAATCCTCAGTACATAACCCCTGACTGCTCGTTGCTGTCATCTACTGCAAAACCTAGCATTGAGTCTAGCGGTGAGTCATGTGCAGGTGTGTTACCAGACTACGCTGATCTATGACGCAGTAAAGCATCCACTGGCCTTGTTCGTGTTTCAGAGCCACTTTTGATGTGTTGGTCCTATCGATGTTTAGGACATTTGTACTACTGTTGTTTTGTTTTGTTTGTTTCACATCACTGTTTGGTTTTTGCCAAGGCTAACATGGGTCAGCATGCAATGACTCTTTGGCATCCTGCATTATTCATCTTTTTTCTCCGTTTCCTTGTTCTCCACCTGGCTTCCAGTAGTTTGCTGGTTCTTCTTCTAGTCTTTTTCATAGTTTAACCCATTCAAGAATTCTCTAAATTTAAGTAGCTGTAGCAGCTGGTATT